GGTCCAGTCCCAGTACCACCCTCCACCCTCTGTGAAGTGTGGGTCCAGTCCCAGTACCACCCTCCACCCTCTGTGAAGTGTGGGTCCAGTCCCAGTGCACACAGGTGTTGGAGTGTGCAGGTTACAGGTGAGTAAAACAGCTGAGAACAGGGACAGTACAGATTACATCATCAAACACTGGTAGCTGCCGCTCGCTGTTAGGCCAAATTTCATATACATGAAATGTTTAAAGAAAGAAACTCATTTTATCTCTTTCATGATTGAGTTTACACAATATATATAATCTATTCACTATTATTATAACATATATTTATACGTATTTTTCCACTCGTTTCATTTATAGTTCTTCATACATTATTTTTTTGTACCATGTTCAAATGTTCAATAAAGGTTTATTTTAAAAAATGGTCGCTGTTTTGGCAGCAATGAACTGTGGGTAATACCCTTCACTAAAGTCCGTAAAAATGKAGAKTTCGTGAAATGCGGAAATAGTACCCAAAATGGGCGGGGCTAAGMGCGGATGTGGAGAATGTAGGACACACGACGCACACAAACCCTTCAARGTGAACYCACATTTGAAGTGCACAAGGGAACGAGGGTGGGAGTGTGGATATTGTTGCAGGATGATGACATCATCCTGGTTATCTGATGCTAACTTGTGCTAACACTTCTAACGCTGCTGGTTATAATATTTAAAACCTACAGGGACCACCCATAAAAACAATACAGGTGGTCTCTGTGGTCCAGCAGTTTGAGGTGCAGCTCAGACACCAGCCAGAACTGCAGGTTTGATGTCTTGTAGCGAAGCTTTAGCTGCTTCGGAGCTAGCGGTTGCTATTGTCTCAGGATGATGACATCATAACATGAACCAAGCACCAACAGCAAAAATACCTAAACGTGAACTTCAACATTTAGGGTTTAATTTTATATTAATATTTAGGATTTAACATTTAAATAGATAAATATTTAGTAAAAAATTAGCCAAATGTAAAAACAGTGAGCAACATAACAATAAAATGTTAGTGGAAATATTAACATTTCATTTTACATTTAACGCCTCGTATGGAACAAATTCAATTTTTCATCAGGAATTAGGTGGATTTATTTAACCAAACCTGCTGTTCTGGCAAGAACAAGAACACTAATAAATAATAATAATAATAATAATAAACTCAAATGAGAGGCTTGTCAGATAAAAGCAGCTTAATGAAGCAGAAAGACTGAAGGAAAACAGAAGTGATTAAAGGAGCTCCTGCTGAGAAAGTAGCAGCAGAGTTTACATTTCTGTCATCACAAATATAAACTCTGCTTCTATTTTAAGCTCAGCCTGTAATCTGTGTGGGAATTCCCTGATAATATTCCACACATGTGAGTCAGAGCGTTGCACCATCACCGCCCGACACGTCTCCCATCTGTCAAACATCTGGCTGCACTTTCACAGAGCCCCCTGACTCACAGCTTTTACTGRGATCCTCGTTCAATCAAACAGGCTCGTTGCCTCATCGCCCCCCCTCCGTGGAATCACTACAGTCCTGATGTTTGGAAGCAGGAGCTGAACAAGCAGCCTGGTCCTAAAACAACTCTGATGTGACCTGATGAGGAGAAAAACACGATGATTCCACTGAAACCAACCGTTCAGGCTGCTCCTCCAGGACCAGCTGACCAAACTCAGCTCCTCGGTCTTTTTATTGCTTTAAGCCGATTTTAGATGTAGTTTTTAAAAGATAAGAAGTGCAGAGAAATGATCAGGATACAACAGAACACAGCTGATCTACAACAGAATGGGTCAAAAACCTCCACAACCATGTTAAACTGATAAAGAGCCACTGCTCTTATCTATTCACCCASTTTCTATAATAATATCATCATTTAATATGTGCTCTTAGAATCTTATTATTTGCTTCTTTCTTTGTGTTTTCAGYACATTTCCACAACAAAACATAACGTTAACATAAATAATGAACTCATTATTCTGCTGATCAGTATAAATTAACGTAAGACACAAGAAAAACAAGACACAGGTTTTTTTTGCTCAGTATAAAAAGAAACGGAGAAGTGTTGTAACTTTCAGACAAAAACAGTCGAGTCAACTGAACTCAGCATGATCACAGAACTCCTTACTGGAACAGCAGTCAGAAAAACTGAATGACATCATCTCAGTCAGATGAGTGATGATGTAACATCCTCCAGAGTTTACAGCAAATCAGTGCAGAACGAACTGAAGCTGCTAAAAACTCACCGAACTGTCAAGATTTCCATCAAAGTTCAAAAGGTAACAGGGTTCTGTTTGTCTCCACAAGTCAACATGGCTGCTGCTAGTTTATAACCAGCTAATAACACGGTAACAGCTGTCAGCTTATAACACATTTATAACACGATTATAACCAGCTTATAACACATTTATAACACYATTATAGCAGTTATGTGTTAAGTCATTATAAGTGTGTTATAAGCTTGTTATAAACTAGTTATAAGCTGGCAGCTGTTACGTGTTAAGTTGTTATAAACTAGTTACAAACTGGTCAGGGTTATAAGCTGACAGCTGTCACATGTTACAAACTGGTTTTAATCCGGTTGTAAATTGTTATAATGTGTTATGAGTGTGTTAWAAATGTGRTATAAGCTGGCCATCTTATAAACAGCTTATAACCAGTTATAACAAGCTTATAACCATCTTATAACATGTAACAGCTGCCAGCTTATATRSAGTTTATAACAAGCTTATAACAGCTTATAACATGCTTATAACATGCTTATAACAAATTAACACGTAACAGCTGCCAGATTACAAACAGCTTCTAACCTTTTTATTACCATCTTATAACATGTTTATAACATCTTATAACATGTTTATAACCATCTTATAACAAGTAACAGCTGCCAGCTTAAAACACGTAGCAGGTACCAGTTTATAACTAGGTTATAACTAGCTCACAACACGTAACAGCCGTCAGATTATAACACGGTAATAGCTGCCTGAATCTACTCTGTTGGCTTGTCTTCCTGTTGCTAATAAAGGTTAGCCTGATCCCTGAGCAACAAGTTAAGTTTAATCCTGGATCAAACTCAGACTAAATGGAACCTGGACGCGGTGGTAAATGCTAACAACAGTAGCATGTAGCTGACCTTTTAGCAGTTTCAGTCCTCCGTTCTGCTGATCTCTAACTGTTTCAGGAAGTTAKAGATAAAAGAACTGAAATGAGCCTCAGCTTTAGCCTGAAGTGTGTTAGCATATGCTATAACATGCTAACAGCTAACAGGCTTAAGCTGAGGCTAACAGAACAGACAGGGTTGTGTTAGCGTGTGTCGGTCCGGTCGGACCTTTAGCTCAGCAGCTCCAGGTAGGTGACGGGAACCTTGCCCCTCTCGTTCCCCCGTTCTCCAATCAACCAGTCTGGATCCATGCCTGGGACCGTGTAGACACAGATTACCTGTGGGAAAAAAACACAATAACAACAACAACAACAACAACAACCAGTGGTGGACACTGCTAACTAAAAGGTTAGCTTCACTAATCTGCTAAACAAGACTCTTAAACTCAGATAAAAACAAATTAGCAGAGACTAATTAGTTTTCTTTTTGTCCCTTTCAGAATAAAAGCATTTATTTTTTCAAGTTTGCTTTTTGTAAAAACAAATAGTCAATACTTTCACTACCAACTCTTGTATTCAATATTTAAATATTTTTAAATGTTACTTTATTTTTGATGCTCATAGTTTGAAGTTTAGTGCCTAAAGATGCTAGCTAATCCACTAAATGAGAAGCTGCAGTGAAACTGTGCCCACCCTTAATAACAGTGATAATAATAACAGTAATAACAGTAGTAATAATAATACATTTATGGTAGTCTTTATAAAGATCCTGGAAATGATGGTTTATCTTTACAAATGATTTTTATCAGAATGATGTCATCGGGGTGTTTCAGCATCTTTTCCACTAATTGTGTGATTTTCTTGGTGTGTYGTCAAAGTGTGTCTCTTTGTGTTATCAGTTTGTCCTGTTGGTTCAGGATGATTGCTTTAGATTAAAATAACTCCCCACAGCTAACGGCTCCAGACACATTTAGCTGCTGTTTGTTGGAGACTTCAGGAAATCTGCTCACATCCAAACTAATGAGGGAGAAAACAGGAAGCCGCCTGCGTCAAACACCTTTATTAAGATGTGATTTCCCTCCAACAACAATCAGCTAACTCTGGAAATGTTTTTAAATTAAAAACACCTGTGAAATATTAACCTCTGAACCAACACACAACCACTTCCTGCAGACCACTTTATGGACTCTCACCTGCAAATTCAGAAAATCGTGTAAAAAAATTCATCAATAAATTGAAACTTTATTTTCTGTTGCTGAAAATTAACCTCTGAACCAACACACAACCACTTCCTGTTGACCACTTTATGGACTCTCACCTGCAAATTCAGAAAATCGTGTAAAAAAATTCATCAATAAATTMAAACTTTATTTTCTGTTGCTGAAAATAAAATGAATACATTTAATTAGTTGCATGTTTTATACTTTAAATGATGTCTGTCCACTGTTTCTACAGCTAAACATCAGGTAACAGGAAGAGGTTTAACCTGGAGTTTCAAAATAAGAGCTCAGATTATTATAAACTTTAATTATTCCTGTTGGTTTCAGAGAACATGGTTTTAATTCCTGATGTTTGTAAATAAAAACATCTAAAAATAAATCTTGAACCCAAAAATAGGACCTGTGTGATTCAGAACCAGTCAGAGGGTTCTGTTGGACCCGGCCCGCWGACTCAGAACCAGAACCTTTACCTCATCAGCCAGCAGGGACAGCTCGCTGGTGTCGTGAGCGTCGTAGTCATACAGGACCTTGGCCTTCCTGGATCCAGTCACCAGCAGCTGAGCAGAACCAGAGGGTCCAGAAGCCGGTCCAGATGGGAAGGCAGAGGAGACCGGGTCAGGACCACCAGCAGCAGAAGGGTGGGGGGCTCCAGCAGAGTTACAACATCTGGAAGAGGTTTGGAGAAGAAAACCATGAGTCTGACCGGATCCACTGTGGTCCTTCTGAGACCAGGTCCACCGTGGTCCCTCTGAGACCAGGTCCACCGTGGTTCCTGTGAGACCAGGTCCACCGTGGTCCCTGTGAGACCAGGTCCACCGTGGTCCCTGTGAGACCAAGTCCACTGTGGTCCCTGTGAGACCAGAACCACTGTGGTCCCTGTGAGACCAGAACCAGTGAGGTCTGTCCTCAGACTGGACCCAAGCTGGTCTTGGACCAACAGGGGTGCTGGTCCAGCTCACCTGTGCAGTTCTCTCTGCAGGTCCTGCAGGTACTGGTGACCCTGGGCGTAGAAGGTGGCCTGAGCTTCAGCGAAGTCCTGCAAACATCTGAGGTGGTTGAGCTGCAGCAAGAGAAGAACAGGAGAACCTGAGGCCAGAACCAGAACCAGAACCAGAACCAGAACACTGGGCCTCAACCAAAACCTGGGAGTGAAAAACTGGTTCCAGCTTCTGGTCCAGCAGAACCTCCTGCAACCAGCCCCTAAACCTGGACCCAGATAACACACCTGGTGCTGCAGGAGGTGGTCCCACTTAGGAACCAGGACCTGTGGGCTCCTGAGGAACCAGGACCTGTGGGCTCCTGAGGAACCAGGACCTGTGGGCTCCTGAGGAACCAGGACCTGTGGGCTCATGAGGAACCAGGACCTGTGGGCTCCTGAGGAACCAGCAGGGTCCAGTTTTCCACTCCCAGCTTTAACCTTTAGTTTGGTTCTTGGTTCTGGTCTTAGATCCAGGAGGATCATGTGGGTGTGGTGAGGGTCTCTCTGGAACTGTGTTGTGGTCCAGGAGGAAGAATGAGTCCTGGTGGTCCTCCTGCAGCCGGACCCTCAGCCTGACTCACATGAGTGCTGCTGATCCCCTCCAGCAGCAGCCGGGTCACCTCCGCCTGCCGGTCGAACTCCGTCTGAGCCACTCGCAGCTCGTGTTCCGCCTGAGACAGGAAGACAGTCAGAGACAGGTCCTCACAGGTCCACACAGGTCCACACAGGTCCACACATGTCCTCACAGGTCCAAACATGTCCAGACAGGTCCAGACATGTCCCCACAGGTCCTCACATGTCCACACATGTCCACACATGTCCAGACAGGTCCAGACATGTCCTCACAGGTCCTCACAGGTCCACACATGTCCTCACAGGTTCACACAGGTCCTCACAGGTTCACACAGGTCCACACAGGTCCAAACAGGTCCTCAGAGGTCCACACAGGTCCAAACAGGTCCTCAGAGGTCCACACAGGTCC